GCAAAGTATTATGGAAATAAATTAAAAATTGTGATTTATTAATATTTGTAGTTGAAAATGAATAACTACTTTAATTAGACATATTAGCATTGATTAACATCAATTATGTACTTATAACTTACTACTAGAATTTGTGAGTATTCCTGAGAAATTTTCAGTTTATTTTGTATTCGAATAAATACTCATAACAGACAATCATATTTCAACTCTATAGTAATTATTGATATTAAATATCTGATAGTAACGAAAATCACCAACTTTAGACCATAGTGGGTAAAGAAGAAAGTTAATGAATGTGACAATTACTCCTATAAATCTCTATAAAGCTGTGTGTTCAAAGATATTTAAGATCATCGCAATAACTTGACCTAACCCAAACTTACTATTATGTACTGATTTCTTGTAGTACGATTACTGTGGAATATTTGTGCAGTAAGAAATCCAAACCATATTATTATGAACCTCAATGTGAATAATATATCAGTTTTAATGATAGTTCTCTTTCACTTTACTGTGGGTTATAACGCACCTTCCCAAAAATTCTGTTCCATTCGTTGTTTGGAGAAATATGGAACTCTGAAATACTACCACAGATATGGAAGGAATTGGTGTGCATATAATCGTCAAGGAGAAAAACTCACTCTTTATAAAACCTGCAATATGCCAACAAAGTTTCTACATCAACGGATTGTCGGATTAGTGAACTCTTCAACGATTATTTTTCTAATAAGAAAAGTGGATTTCTCCCCTACTCCTTTATGTGTAAACAAAATAAACATTTTTACAGTAAAAAATTTTGGAATGGCATAAGTTGATAAATACGTTTTTCTCGAGATTCGTTTCAGATTTTTATATTAAATATTTATTTTACAAATATTTTTCACGTTATCCTACCTTAATTTACTGTCCACAGCCATTGTCTACCTTATATCATGACTTCAATATAATTAAATACCTTTGAGAGAGCTATTGTTAAGTACCACAGTCTTTTATACTTGCTAACAAAGATGCTTCGTAACTGTTAAAAGCGTCTTCATGACCCAACAATTTCAATCTTGTCTTTGCAAATACATACATTAATAGATAAAGTGCTCACATTCTCGAGACTTGATTGTCATGTTAAATCTGTGATTAAACCCATATTGGCAATTTGATGCTCACATGAGTTATTCACTGTGATAACTCCGATCCGAGACAGACAGCGATCAGGTTCTATTTATCAAATCTTTTCGTCACCTTTCAAGTTTCTATTTCAGATCACTTTCTTTTTGAAATGAAGCCTACAACACCATTAAGCCAAGGAAGGAATTTTCCAAAGCTTATGCCAAAAATTGTTGTTATGTCCTCGCGGAACATTTATTGGTCCTATTAAAGGCTATTAATATTGTGCTCTTATGTATTGTAATTGGGTATGAGAATGAAAAGTAATATGAAATTATATTTTTTTAACACATAAGGAGATTTTTAGAACAGTAGTGAAGTACAACAACAAAAATTAATTTTATATTATTAATATTAATTGATTTTTTGTCTGACCATACAGCTGTTTCGAGAGTATTGCCAAATAAGTCCATTAATTTTTCAAATGATTTCAATAGAAATCAAAGTGAAATAGATTGTCAACTTAATAGCCAGAGTTAAACTTGGTTTAACTCTCTATTAATTTAAATTATAAATTTAATATTTTTGCAGTTTTATATTATAAACAAATTATGTGAAATAGATAAAATTATATTAGGTTGCTTTCACTTGCCGCACTTTGCAAATGAAAGCTTGTGGTAATATGCAAATTACTTGCAGTGATTAATTACCGGGCCAGGCGACAATGGTTCTGTGCAACATTAATAAAGTCCTTTCCACTGTAACCAGTAACCAGAAATCCAGCATCCAGTGTTAGCCTTGAACTTTTGCGGTGAGTTTTATTTATGTTCAGCCTTTCCACATCAACTGCCTATCATTAATCAATATTAAAAGGTAATTTACAAATATCGAGAAGTGAATATTGCTTACAATATTATGCAAAAGTTCAAAAGCCGTTGTGATGTCATGAAGCAAAGTAAAATTAAATAAAATTATTAATTCTGTAATACTAAAATATGATAAAAGTCAATTAAAGCAGAAGATATTTTGAAATACATTTGCAGTTGCAAGATTCAAGTGGACTTAATTTAACCAATAAAAGAGAGAAGGACTTTATTTCCGATCTGTTGCAAACTAATTTTGGTTGCTTTTCTTTGCAAAGTTACTAATTGGAAAATTTGGTTGCCTAGTTATCATGAGTTCAAAACTTGTCACAATCATGAAAATAAACTTTTGTCAAAAGTTTGGATTTCGGCATTTGCAACTTCAGCATTTGCAACCATCGCTGGACTGAACTTTAAATAAATATTCACTTCCACAGGATTTTGTTCACATTTTGTGCATTTTTGTGGAAAATAAGCAATTTTCATTTCGTTTTGTTTTCAAACAGTTTTGGTTTCAAAGAACTTAATTTTAGCATCTCAATTTACTTGAATGAACTTTCTCATTTAATTGAATTGAAATAAAGTAGCGAACACTTTCAATATTAATCCTTTTTTATGGAAATCCTTTAATGCATCGTCGTGCATCGACCGTTGTTGCTTCAATTTTTGTGCTCGTTTATTTAAATATATTTATTTTTCACATACAGATACACGGTAATGTAGAGTCTTATTTATAGGATTTACTATAATATGAGACACGATTGCAGTTGTTGATGACCTTCTGTGCGCAAAGTGTAGGAGGAACGAAACATGCATTGGAAAAATGCATTTCCTTTTGCAGTGCTCCTCCTTACGTAGAGCATTTTCCTTTCGTAAACCAACTGCAGAAAGTAGTGAAGCATGAATTCGGATTTACATATTTAAATGGAGAAGATTTAGCAACAATTGTCTTTAAATAAAGAAAGGTAAGCTCGAAATTATTCCATACATTCCACTGGAATATTTTCTATCATCTACTGAGAATCAAAAACCTGAATATAAGTATTGTGTCTTAAATTTCATGACGGGAATAAGCATAAGTCTTATACCTGAAGAGAGATTTCTTTTCTGTCCAAGCAATGTATAAGCACCATTTCGTTAACATATATCCAGATTTTAACTCATTTAACTTTAATAATAAAATGTATAAATAAATTTATTTAATAAAAAAATAAATATAAAATAAATAGAAGTAATGATGAAATAATATAATTAACGTAATGTATGTGAAATCCTTTTAAGATCTATAGTTGAGATGTTTCTCAAGGCTATTTTTTTAGATAGTATTGTTAGATAGTATTAGCGGTTGGGTTTTGTTAGTACAAAAACAAAAAAGATCAAATATATTAACAAATTCATACCTATTTAGTATTTTTTATTAAGATCTGTAATTTATATGTTTGTTAAGCTTATCATATCTGTTAGTATCACCCGTTACTTGGTTTTCTAAGTGACATAATAATCACTCCTGTCTATGTAGTGATTAAGCACCTATTTGCTAGGATGTTTCCATACATTCTGCATTGAGAAATTCAATGAGTTATACTTTTATGTGCCATATTTAAATTTTTTTCTGAAATCTTGTCAGATAGTTTAAAATGTTATTTGATATTATAGTGCTAAAGCTTTTTCTACTATACAACTCATAAGCCTCATAAGCATCTTTCTGTTTTCATATATTTAGAGATAGAATTAACCACCGTGGTTTTCTTAAGGACCTATATATGAGAAGTTCCTCAAGCACGCTTTTCTAATAGTACTTTACACATTTCTTGACTTTTTAATACTGACTACAGGCTTCTCTTGTGTGTAATCACCGTTTTGTTATCAAAGGTCCAGATATAAAATATACAATAAATTCAAATCTGTATTCTTTAAAACCCATGTCTTAATTGTTCATCAAGTTCTTTAGTTCGTAAACATTCATATTGGAATACCTTAATTTGATAAAGAAGCCATGACATTTCTCTATTAACTATTGATTGACTAAAAAAAACATTTCATAAACAAAGCCATTGAAGTTAATTGCAAATTGTTGTTTTTCTTTAAATATTTTCCAATTATTCATCAAGCCTTCCATAAAATAAAAACATATTGCATTGCAGAGCATTTAAATAGATTTCACATCACATAAATTATTTTCATAAGTTCATATAAATTTTTTATCTGTTATTGTATTGACATTTCATTAACTCGAAACACTATCAAATATTAATTAATATTGAAGGCATGTATATACATATATAGCATTAAATTTTTTTATTATTCAGGGGGTGTACATAGCATAACACAGGCCTTAATTTAAAAAAATATAAAATTTTTTACTGCAAGGATTTTTGCATGAGTGGCGTTCAGCATAAAATCAATTGCTCCTGCCAACCGCAACCAAATAAGCCTTGCTGCGCAGGATATATGCATCATCGCTTAATAAATCATTTTAATAAACAGCATGAAAAACGTGGTGAATCATTAAACTTTTATTAAATCAAAATGCAAACCAGTAACAACCAAATTAGTTAAAAACTTTGAAATTTCTGCAAATACAAATAGTTGCATACTCGTACATTGATCATTTAATTATGGATGAGAATTTAATATACAAGAGGTCCATTAGTTGGTAAACGCATTGTTGGTGGCCAAAATTGATTGGATTTCCTATAATTAATATTCCACATATGAAACTACAACACTACGACACTAAAGTTTCATGACATTAGCAACAGAATATTATAACCTTATTAGTTTCAGTAAAGGGCATACCATACTACGACTACTATGGATGAAATGGTTTTATGGTTCTCAATTCTACCACTGAAATTAAATCAACTTTGGTAAATGGGTTATGACAAGCATTGTTCGGCACAAAGGATAATACGAAGGATAATATATGTCATAAAGTGTTGAACTGAGAGTTCCATACCCACAATCCATACACAATTTAATTAAAGTGCAAAGTCTACTATTACAAACTTCACTTAATCAATTTATTGACTACGTGTATATCACTAACAATGAAAATTTAAACTAAGAATTAAACTAAGAATATCAAATAAGATTAAAGCGCTTTTGTTTTATGAAAAAAGGAGCATACTTTGCTCTAACACTCTTGTTATATTATTTATCACATGCTTTTTGCCCATGCCCAAGGCAACCGGCGTAAGCCATTAGGTGTGGAATGGTGCTCTGCTCATAGACACCACTGAATAAATGTGACCAAGGGCCTGTCGCGTATACAGGTACATCTTCACCGCCATGTGTTTCAGAATCCATTGGCGCCGTAGCGGGGAAAACATCATCAATATCGCCACTCAACACCGTCGAAGGATCGAGTCGTACATTTTTCTTTGTATCGAAGAATTTCTTGTAGCTGGGCCCATTAGCGTAACTTAATACTAAGTACGGCAACTCATCTTCTGCTATAGCACCAACACCAAATATATCATCACTGCGTGGCTATTGAAAATAATTGCAATATTAATAAACACATTTGACTTAGAAATCATTATAGCGAAAATCTTACCGCATAACCAGCGACGGACATGGTATGTGAGTGATCAGCACTCACCACAATTAATGTATCTTTTTCGTTTGTTGATTCATGTGCAGTAGCTACCGCTTTACTGAACTCAGCTGTTTCATCTAAAGCTAATTTTGCCTTGTTGGCATGATGTGCTTTATCAATTTTTCCACCTTCCACAAACAAAAAGTAACCTTTAGGATTTTGTTCCAACACTTCAATAGCTTTGGCTGTCATTTCTTCAAGTGTAGGCTGGTCTCTGTCAGCTTCCAGATTAT